GCGGGCCACATTGGCCGCCTCCTGAAAAGTGATCTCGCTCCCGGCCTCCTTGGCCATCTGAAGACGAATCGGCTGAATAAGACTATCAATAAACCTCCTCACCCTCTCTCTCTCTCGGTGGGAAGTATGACAAGAGCATGGCGAGCTAGATCAATGAACCTGGTCTCATACTGAGTGACCGTCATGGAACCCTGCTGAAGGCGCTCAAACTGCCTCCGAAAGGCCTCTCGCTGAGTCATGGGGAGAAACTTCTACAGAAACAACACTGTGAACTGCTCACAAGTCAAAGAAGGCGAACCGGCTGGTCTAGCTAAGCAATAATCCCTCCACCAAGTCTTGGCGGATCTAGACAGTCGAAAGGTAGCAAAATCAACTCCATTGGTCTCCACAATACCCATGTTCCGAAGAACCTCGTGGCAGCTGTCCAAATAATCCTGAGGATCCTCGGTGGATGCACCGTTGAAAGTAGTAGTGAAGAGCTTGGTGAACCTATACCAATCTCCATAAGGCATCGACAGACATAGCTGCCCCATCACCGGCCTGGGCTACCACACCCGGCTGAGTTGCTCCAACTGGCTGAACTGCTGGAGTCTGAATCAGAGGAGCTACCTGCTCCGGAGTACGAGTAGCAGGAGTCTGGGCCCCTCCTCCAGCCTGAGAGACGGCTGGTGCTACAGGAAGCAAGCCTGCTCGGGTAACACTCTCCATGAGACCCACCAATCGGACCAGAGCGTCCTGAAGAACTGGGGTAGCAATAAACCCCTATGGGACCTGAGCTGGGCCCACCGAAACTGCTGGGGCCGGGGCCGGAACCTCCTCATAGAAGTCAACCTGAGGCTCCGCCACTTGTGCTGCTGCTCGGGGCTGAGCTCTGCCCCTACCTCGGCCTCTAGCACGGCCTCGGCCTCACCCTCTGCCCCTAGTGGGACCTGCCTGGGGCTCGGACTGCTGGTCGGAAGATGAGGAAGCGCGTGTTCTCACCATCTGCGAAAGAACAGAGTAGAAATTCAATTAGCGTTGAGAAACCAAACCGCATGACAAGAAAGAACAAATGTGAGACTTTTCCTATCTTGGTAGCCTCTGGGGGATAAATACAGACGTCTCCGTACCAATCCCTCAGACTCTACTAAGCTTGTCCGTGAGTTGTGAGACCTATGTAACCTAGAGCTCTGATACCAACTTGTCACGACCCGGATTTCCCACCCTCGGGAGTCGTGATGGCGCCTACTAATGGGAGCTAGGCAAGCCAAATTTAATTACTTTTCATTAATAACATAATCCCTCTTCCACGATTATCGGCAACAATATAAAAATAACAAAATTAAATAACGAGCGGAAGTCTTAAATTATAGAAATCTGAATAGAAATGCGAAAAGTTCAACATAAGCCTCTACCCAAGACTGGTGTCACAATACTCACGAACTACTAAGATACTAAATACAATCGTCTGAAAGAGAACATAAACTATTTGTCTCGAATAAAATGAGATAACAGATTAAAGTAAAAGATAGGGGAGACGTCGGGCCTGCGGACGCCTGCAAGGCTACCTCGGTGTCTCGCTGGACTGAAGGCCTGCTCCCACGCTACTGCTGCTGCTGTCCAAAACCTGGATCTGTGCAAAATAGCACAGAGTGTAGTATCAGCACAACCGACCCCATGTGCTGGTAAGTGCCTAGCCTAACCTCGGCGAGGTAGTCACGAGGCTAGGACCGGACTACCAATTAAACCTGTGCAGTTATATAATATACAATGGAAAGTAAAGCAGGAATAAACGAGTAAAGATGGGAGGGGGAAACATGCTGCGGGGGTATACCAGTATTAACAGTAAATCCAGAGTAACAGTCTAAGGGTAGCTTAGAATTTACAGCGAGCAAAGAAACCAATATCCAAAATAAACATACTTATATCAATAATTGTTGCGGCGCGCAACCCGATCCCAATATATAACAACACTGTTGCGGCGTGCAACCCGGTCCATATCATTTAGCGTTGTTGCGGCGTGCAACCCGATCCACAAATATCATTGTTGCGGCGTGCAACCCGATCCATATCATTTAGCGTTGTTGCGGCGCGCAACCCGATCCACAAATATCATACAATGCACGACATCACCCTTCGTGCTTTATCACTCTTCCTCACCCAAACAACAATCACAAATAAGGGGCAAGAAAGTAAACAAATAATGATAGAAATCTCGGCAAGGGAATGCAATTAAACAATTAAATCCCGGCAAGGGAACAATATCAATAAATTTCCATGTCCCGGCAAGGGTGAAAATCAACAAAACAACAAAACGTCCCGACAAGGGAATAAACCAAATACTACTTCTCTTTCTTTCACTTTCATCTCATAGTTCACATTATCACTTGAGCCAACGCTCCAAGAATTTAAATATCTCATATACTTTCACAATTTGTATTTCAACTCGAGCCAACGCTCCACGAAGTTCAAAGATCACAATTTCCTTTCACATACTCTTTACAACATAGAGAAATAATCAATTAAGTATGGGAGCTGTAACAAAACCAGAATATTCGCAATATAAGGACTCACGTTCATGCTAGACACCAATGTATAGATACTCGTCACCATGCCTATACATCGTACTCGACAATTAGCAAGTAGCAAATAAGACTCAACTCCTATTCCCTCAAGCTAAGGTTAGACCAAACACTTACCTCGACTTCCACGGCCAAATCAATCCACAACAACCGCTTTCCCTCTCGAATTCGGCTCCAACTCAATCAAATCTATACAATAATGACTTCATAATATCAATATATGGTAAACAAATCAAACCCAATGCCTAATTATAGACTCCCAAGCTTTCTTCCCAAAATCCCAAAAATTGACCCCGGGCCCGCTTGGTCAAAACACGAGGTTCGGACCAAAACCATGTCACCCATTCACCCACGAGCCTGAATATATAATTTGTTTTCAAATTCGACCCCGAAAGGAGGTCTAAATCAAGAAAATTCAAAAAGCCCTAACTCTACTCATTTTTCCCAATTTCTACCCTAAATTACATGTTTTAGGCTTAGGAATTCATTAGATGTTGATGAAAAATGAAGGAAACGAGTTAAGGATTACTAACCCACGAAGTTTTGGTGAAAGAAAGCTTCAATGGACGCCTAAGGACCTTGGAGAAGAAAGAGCTCGTGAAAATTTGTGAAAGAAGCCGTAGCTACTGTTCTGGAATTAAAAATTATAACTGGGCGAATTTGCCTTTCGCGTTCGCGACAGGCAGGTCGCGTTCGCGACGGGTAGAACTTGGCAGACTATCGCGTTCGCGAGCTGAAGGATGCGAACGCAAAGAGAAAAAGGCTGGGGTCCAGGAATCGTTCTAAACGCGTGGGACTTCTCGCGAACGCGATGAAGAAGTCTGGCAAGCTACGCGAACGCGGTCAAATGTATGCGAACGCGAAAAGGAAAAGAGGGCTAAGCCCTCAGGGTCAAATAACCCTACGCGATTGCGAGGGAATGGATGCGAACGCGATGAAGGAAAAACTTAAAGCTTCGCGAACGCGGGAGAGGCGTCGCGAACGCGAAGAACAAATGGGGCCTGCAACAGCTGAAGCAAAAACCTGCAATTTTCCTAAGTTTGAAACCACCCTGAAACACCTCCGAAACACTCCGAGCCCTCGGGGCTCCTAACCACACATATGCACTAACTCAACAACATCCTACGAACTTAACCGGGCCATCAAAATGCCAAAATAACATCAAAAACAACGAATCAAACCTCAAAATTACTAGTTTTTCCTCAAACTTCATTAACTTTCAAATTTAGAATTTTAAGTCCGAATCACGTCAAACGACGCCCAATTTCAACCAAACTTCACAGAAATATCTTAAACCACATATAAGACCTGTACCGGGCGCCGAAACCAAAATACGGGCCCGATACCTACACGTTCTAATCAAATTTCATTTCCAATTTCCTTAAATATTTTCAGAAAACAATTTTACTCAAAAATTCATTTCTCGGGCTTGGGACCTCAGAATTCGATTCCGGGCATACGCCAAAGTCCCATATTTTCCTACGGACCCTCCGGGACCGTCAAATTACGGGTCCGGGTCCGTTTACCCAAAATGTTGACCGGAGTCAAATTTACTCATTTTAGTATCAAATTTTAGCATTTATCACAGAATTTCATATTTAAGCTTTCCGGCTACGCGCCCGGACTGCACACAAATCGACGCGACTACAAATGAGGTTTTCAAGGCCTTGGAAGCACAGAATGAGTAAGAAAACAGGTGATGACCCTTTGGGTCGTCACACCTTAAGTGATATTTTAATCATGGGGGTGTAAACAACGCGTTGTACTCTTTTTTCCTTAACTCAGGTTTTGTCCCATTGGATTTTCCTGATAAGGTTTTTAATGAGACAGTAAATAATTCGTATTACAAATAACTATGTACTTCCCAGGTTTTTCCTGTTAAGCTCTTATTGATGCATATTTTTTCTACATGGACATCCAAGGGGGAGTGTTATGAATAGTTTATAGATATGGATGCCATGTGTGCGAATAGCTTATGGATGGACTCTCATACTTTATGTCCATCATATGCATTATTTTACAATAGTAAATCTTCAAATGTTATGCCTATAAAAGGATGTGTAAATAGCGATGAAAGAACACACCAAAAAGAAGTGAAATACTCCTTCTTTGTATCTCTGTTTCTTATTTATATTTTGCTAAATTACTGTTATTTTATAACACAAAGATATTTAAAAGGTGACAAAATAAAAATAATTGCCTAAAAAGGGACACTCGATTAAATTTTGTGCCTACACATAACTCCTGAAATTCCTTTGTCCTGGCTAGGGAAGTGTGTAGCAGAAACAAAGAACTTAGTTGCTTTACCTTCTCCAATTGGACAAACCTCAAACGACCACAACCACAACATTGAAGCAATGAAATTGGAATAGTTTCATCTTTAAGAAAACAAACAAAACCAAAACTTAAAATTTTCGAACTCTTTGATGTCCCATGCAAACGCTCACATATAAAATGGAAGATGTTGTAATCCAAAAAATATTCATCAAAGCTCTTAAAGTCTCAAATCATTGACAAAAGCAAACTCAAAAGAACTTAACAGAAATTTGCACTTGTTTTTTTTTTTTTTTTTTGTCAAAATGGCAATGAGACCAAGAGGTGGTGGAGTTCGACCGAACCGGCCTAATCGGCCACCACGAGCAGCCGTTCGACCAGTTTATGAAGATTTTAGGCCAGTTTATGAGCGGCATCAAGAGGAAGAGGCTGAAAAACTACTTATTTATCTTCCTGGTCTGTTCATTTATTTCTATTCTGCTACAAAACCTATTTTTTCTAATCCAGTTTCTTTTTCTCGTATGTGATTTACTCAAACATATTGTGTTACGTTGATGATTGTCATATACTTGCTTGAAATTATAAGGTAGGCTTGAAGAGATCGTTCAATCGGAAAAACTACACGATTTATTTTTAAGAGTTAATATAAACAATTGAAAATCTAGTTTTAAAGAAAATGAGTAATGGTCTAACATTTTACTTTGTAGAATATGTTTTAACATTGATTTCTTTTTTGCCTTTCCTTTCATTAAGCCCTGCTAAGAATATTAACTGTTTAAGATTTGAAGATTTTAGATTTTTAACTCAATCATAATTAAATGATAGTTTTTTTTTTTAAATGACGTATGTCATACATTTATTGGTTTGTTCCATGTATTGGGTTTGAATAAAAATTTCTCTTATAACTATTTTAAAATTTTATGAGCAAGAACTAAACGGTCATACACCTACATGTCATTATCCTCACATTTTTTTGTTATTCTCCTCGCATTGAAGTTGGTTTTATGGAACGTGAAATTTTCTATGTTGCAATAGTTCATATAGATTTTTTTTTTTTTTTTTTTTTTTTTGTGATTCTGAACTACAGGATATAACAATTGCAAATGTAACTTCACATTATCTTGAAAAACTTTTATAATATGTTTCAAGAATAGAACTTCAAATTGTCTTTGATTTGCCTGCAGGTTTCCTGAAGGAGAACATTAGAGTAAGCACAGAAGGCAAGAACACAGTGAGGGTACGAGGAGAACGGTTAGTAGCAGGCAACAAATGGAATCGTTTTCAAGAAGATTTTCAAGCACCAGATGACTGTAACATGAGAGGTATCCATGCCAAATTTGAGAATGGAATCCTTACCATCACTATGCCATGGAAAATGCCCAAGCAATTATCAGATGAACTAACAAAACAAACTCCAATAACCCCTCCACCCCCTCAAAAGGATCCTACTGATTTTCCTCCCAAAACTACTTATCCAACTGTTGAAACACCAAGAACACCAACCCCTTTAAGGCCCACAGCTCAATTGCCAATGCCTCAAAATGTTGTCAAAGATCATGATTCTACAGCAGGAAAGGAATTACAAAGAGATGAGAAGAAAGTCTTGGAAGGTCAACTGGGGACTACTGCTGAATCATCAAAGACTCAAAAGGATACTGATTTTCCTCCCAAAACTACTTATCCAACTATTGATATCCCAAGAAAACCAACCCCTTTAAAACCCACAGCTCAATTGCCAAAGCCTCAACATGTAGACAAAGATCAAGATTCCAGAGGAATACAGGGAAAACAAGGAGATGAGAAGAAAATATTGGAAGGTCTAGTAGGGAGTATTGAGCCTAAGATTCAAAAGAGTAAAGAAGAAGACAAGTCGGATCACAACATAACACAATTGGTCAAAAGGGGCAAGGAAGTTGAAAAGAAGGAGAGCCATGAAGCAGGAGGAAAGAAGGTTGCTGAAAAGAGTAAAGAATTAATAGAGAAGTTCCAAGAAAAAGTTGAGCACAAAGAATCAAAAGATAGGCAAATTACAGGAAATTTAGCTGCTGGTGTATCTTCTCATCCTGATGGTGAATTCAGTATTGGCAATTTGAAGAAAAGCATTGCAGAGCTAAATGAAGAGAGACAACTTCTTGTGAATGCTGGAGCGGCTGTGCTGGTGATTATGGCACTTGGGGCTTATCTTTATCACTCCATAGGGTCTGGGAGAGCTGAGTAAATAACAAAACTTCAATTATGTAAAAATGTACAAATTTACTTGAATTGTGATACTTTTAATTTGTGCAAATAAAAGGAGATGGGATTGAAAAGTGGATATGTGAAATGTAGAAATAAATAATTCTTTCAAGTCTAAGTAAATCATAATTTGTTAGAGTTACTGTAATATAAGCAAGATTTGGAAGGGCTGAGTTACATGGGAGACGCCCCCCTCCCTCTAACCTTGCAGTCCAGATTCTCCTTACACGCCGTATATACAAGCATCGATGAATCTCTATCCATGACAGAAGGCAAAGTTCTTCAGACGCTGCCCCTTCAACTCTTGTTTCTTCAGCAGGGGATAAATCTAATGTAATGCTCTAATGTCAGTTCATGTTAACAGTTAGTCTTTTCTAAGTGTCTGGATTGACTGCTACCACTCTGCTAAAAAATCTGTTTGTTGGCGCAAGTCTGGACAACTTCAAAAGCAGCATCAAATGCACTCTACAGCCCATTTATAGATGGAATCACTAGCTGGTTTACACTTAATTCACAGCTTACTGTTGTACAAATTAACCTGACCTCCAGTGAAGCAATCCCTTAATCTGCTTCGCCTCGATCAGATATTAACCTGCAAACGTCGCGATATGCAGTAAAATTATTAGAAAGCATAATGAAAAAGGTTTCACAATAATAGGGAATGATTCTAGATCATAACTTATTCTTGGATATGAGGTAATGTCAGCATAAGACAGAGAGAAAATGAAGAAGAAACAGAACGTACATAAACAGCTTTCATGTCCTAGTCCTACCAAATATCCTAATCCTACAACTTTCCTTCATGACTTTCAGACCTTAATAATCCCAGTCCCCACTCCCCTTCACTATATATAGGATGGCAATGATATCCGAAAGGTTACCACAGTTGCGAAGTATGGCAGAGTGTTTTGTGGCATTTAGGAGAAACTAGTAGGGAACAAGGTGGTGGGGTGGTCAAAGCTACTGTGGGATAAAAACTTGTTACAAGTTGGTGGTTAAAGTTACTATAGCAGAAAGCCTCTTAAAGTTAAAATGTATAATTACTGTCAAAACCAAATTAGCTTGTTTCAACTGTATTGAAGGTTAAATAGTTTAAGCACAAGAAAATAGACTAAAAGTAAAATTAGCAGAAAGCAAAAGAATAAAACTCTCGCATACTACATACATATTGACATCATAATTTGTCAAACAAAAGTAATAGCAACTTTTAATTTGTCAACCAAGCACAATTATAAGGTTAGGCTTGTCAAACCATGTCTTGGCTGATGAATATGATATAATCTTCTCTTGAGCTCAGCTTTTACAGTAGATAATTGACCCACCATTTGGAAGTGAACCAAAACTAACGAGTACTTGTTTCTAAAATACCCACACAACACACACACACTCACACTATATAATCTACTACATTTTGGAGTAATTCACTTTGCATTTGGCAAAAAAAAAAAGTCCCTCTCGGCTTCTCTTTCGAAAATAATCTCAGATGCTCCAAAATTGTCAATATGATAATATATTTGGTTAGTGAAGTCTATATCTGACTTAACTTCAATGTTGGGTTTTGAGCATACAGACAACTTATGGATGGCTCATTTATCTTTATCACATCATTCTTCACTCATAAATTCCAGGCTTGTCCGTCAATTGCTAAGGACATGTACTGAACTCTCTCTTTGAGAATTGAAATATGAAACTAAAAAATTCAGAAAATAGAACCACCAAACAGCTCCCTATTATGTATTTTCGTTTAGCAGATGAAGCCAAAAGTCAAAGTACTAATTACACTTTCTTCTGAAGCTTGAGCATTGAATATGTGGCTAGTTTTCACCTCACAGAAAGCCAAGCTTGTTACATACTATGTCATATGCATAAGACCTGATCATATCACGCTTGTGAGTCACCACATAGTAATTGACAGGAGACTATCTATTCCAAATTATGCACAAAGCTGTAACAGAATATCTAGAAGAGAATGTGATGAATCAGAGAACGGACAAGATCAATGAAATGCTCATTTTACGCAAAACAGGCTGCCTTTGACTGCATTATGTGCCAGGAAGCATCTTAACTATGGAAAATCTAAAGAAGAAAATTAGAAGCTGAGCAGTTGGTTCTCCATGTGCAGAAATGAGGAGGAAACAGTTAATCCCCCTCCTTTTACATCGTGACGTGGCCAGAGAGGTATGAAATATGCTTTTACCTCTGGCTCAATGCAAGTAGGTGATGCTAAGAACAATTATACTGACATGTTCAACGTGGAAAAGTCATTCTACTCGGAACTAGGTATTATGGAAATGACACCATTATGTATAGCATGGCCAACACTGGAAGCAGAAATAGGAGGTGCATTGGAGGGAAGGCCATTTCCACATTAAAGCTGAAACAACGTTGTCTAGGAAAATGTCTTTGTGGTGCAGCCAAGTTAATGTACTATACCTAGATGTTATCTAGATTTATTGACCTAACTAGACATCAAAATTTGTAAATATTATGCAGCATCAAGGGCGCTGCATTCAACAGTGAATACAATACTTGTGCCAACAAAGAAATAATATATCTGATCATATCATTTGTCGCTTAATATTCTCTGCATAGGCACTGACAGTCCATATCTATCAATTTTCTCAAGGTTGATAATATACTTTCTAATACTCTTAACATTCCCTTTTTTCCTTCTCACTCCATTTTGTATGACACTTTTTTCCTATTTGGTCTATTCCAAAAAGACCAAAACCTTTTTATACTTGAAACTCTTTAGTACTAACATTTTCATTTACCATGATAACATGCTCTTATAGGGAATAACATAAACCACTAAATACTAGGGGGATCTTTGGTATGTTATACATACTTTTCGACAAGGAGGTACATTATATAGATTTGGTTTATGTGTCAAAAGTTTTCTCTGTTTTATCTTAAACTCCATGTCTAACAAAACACCGTCATATAAAATGAAATGAACAGAGCAGTTTCCACATTAATCAAAACCACATCTATTTAATACTTCGAAATTAATTTGTTACCTCTTTTGTAAATTGAGATCAATAATATTTGTTTATTATAATTTTGTTTCCTTGAAATATTAATGTCAATCTAATCATTTTGAACACCCATAACTAATTTCCTTAATTTAGTTAATCAAATCAGATTTCTGTAATTTGTTTTTAGGAAACCAATTTATTATTACTTACTCCAAACATTAATTTTCCTCATTTTGTACGTAAGATTGATTCATAGACATATCTCAACATTAGCAATTATTTAATAATTAAGATTATTTTTCCTCATTACAGTCAATATCAATCTAATTACTTGATCTACTAATTCATTAATATTAGATACCTGTAATTCACCTTTTTTGCTTCACACGCACACACACGAATTATTTTTACTTACAAATTCATTATTCTCTAGGAAATGTATCTTTTATAGGTGGAAGCATATTCCTTGATAACCACTTTTACAGGTAAAATATCTATGACAGAAATTAACCTTTTTACTCACAGTTGTTTTGTTTCCCTATATTTTATACAATAAGACTGACTACCATTAGATTTCTCTGCAAAACTTACTTTTTACAGGTAAAACTCCATTACTCTAGAATTTCACTTCCATATCGATCTAATTAGCTTGTTTCTTTGTTACATACTTGTAATTCATACTAATCCCTTATCTTAGTGAACAAATTGATTTCAGTAAGTTCAAGCTTAATTATTAAGAAACTAAATCATTTCATGAACCTCGAGTTGTTTTGTTTCTTTATTTTAGAGAAATGTTTATTCCTATTATAATTGCATGATTGCATCTTCTTGCCCTGTCTAAAATTAAACAAGACAATGAATTTTAAATAAATAGGTTTAATTTTTTATCGAGGCATACTTGATTGACTTGAAGTATAAATTTTTCAACAATATATCCTAAGCAGTTCCAAAGCATGGTCACCAGTTAGTTTGTTCTTAAAAATACAGAATGTCACTACTTTTACATTAATAGCTATAAATGTGTATATAGCAACTATACGGTTTGAAATCTCAAATTTAACATTGGATGATAAATTTCTGGCAATGTTAATGTCACTCGAAGTAACATGTTTTTACTTCCAAGCATTTAAACAACAAAACCAAACTTATGTACCTTATAATAAAGTCAACTTTTATTTTAAAATTTTAATCGTAGTTAGTAAACCACATATAACTTGTTTGTGACGAAAAAGATATGAGAAGTAAAATGTGAAAAAGAAACCAAGAATTGAGTGTTAGCTCACTGATAGAGCTGCTAAAATTCTCACCAGACCCATTTTCCCCTACCTCCCCCCCCCCCCCCAACACACAAAAAAAACGAAAAATAGATTGCTGAAATCAAATTACACCAAAAAATTGTGGAGATTAAACTGAACATTTGATTGTTGGTTTTAAAGAGAAAGGATACTTAGTACTAATGCATGAAAGATAGTTGCTTAAATCAGTGTTATCAAAGGCGAAAAGCACAAAAAAGCTCTAACGTATGTTGGGGCTTTAAGCATAAAGTGCAAATAAAGCGTGGGCTTTAATGAAGAAAGGCGCAAATGGAGAAAAACTACAAATATGTATGTGTAGTCCAAGACTAATATCTAAAAGAATAAACACCAAATATATGGACAAAGAAATTGAATTTTTTTTACAATAAAGTGAAAATTCAATTGTTTAGTGTCGCCTCTTACGGATTATGCTCGTTAGCAAGGAAAAGTATGCCTTAGAGCCTTGATAGCAACACTGAAACGCCCGTTAAACGAGGCGAAGCGCTCAACATGTTTTGAGCCTCGCTTCAGGGCTTAAGCGCGCTTTAAGCGCACCTTTGATAACACTGGCTTAAATTCTAGCATTTGGTGCATTTTCTATTCTTTTTCTCCTGGTTAAAGCATAATATGGATCCTATTTTAAAATAACATTTACTTTTGTGTTTACTGTATTAACATGAATAGTGCATTGCTACATGACGACATCAATGTCTCTAATAAAGAAATGGTTAAAGAATTAAAAAAATAAAACAAGTACTAGTAACATTGCAAGAATTGATTGATTTAGGAGTTCCATAAAACTTTTAATGCCAAAAAAGTGAGAATACCAGAAAACTAAAATGGATGTTATAACAAAACTTTGAAAATTTTAACTTAATCAATTCTTGAGCATCTATGAAATGATAGAATAACCAAAGAAGCTCAAAACAACATGCGTAAGACAGTACTTATGGAGATCATTTAACAGTAACCCAAGAAACAATACTTCTACCTTCTTTTTTTGAACAGGAGAAACAATACTTCTACCTTGCAACCCATTGTAATTGAGAAAAGGGCCGTGTCAGTTTTTTACATTTTTGCTTTTGAGAAATTTGTCAGTTGACTTTGAATTTTAAGGAGGGCTTAATATAGGGTTCTACACTAGATATTTCTCAAAGCAATGAAGTAGAGAAAACGAAAAATAAAAGCTTGACATAGTAGAATTGGATTAGTCTCTCCTTTACCCAACATCCCTTACGCATATTTTAGCTAAAATTCAGTCCTTTGGAGAAAAATAAGTGCCCAAAGTCAAACTCCTACTTAATAGCCCAACTAAGCTTCGATCCGACTATTAGCCAGCTATATATCATGACAGCATGCAGAAAGAACAGAATATAAAGAAGTTTAAGGAATCTGTATTTGAGAGTTGAGCGGCAACTCAAGAGATATCTAAAAGGGAAAATACCAAAGACAGACAATTTTAAGATAGTTTCAGTTCTATATGCTAGAAACATCAACTCTAACTAACATCACCAAAATATAAACTGTTTTTACTTCGCATGAGAGGGACAGAGAGTTACATGGGGAGGGGGAAGGTCCCAGATCAGCAAGTGAAGTTGCACCAAGAACTAACTAAAAACAATATCCATTGGAACTCGAGTTTATAGGAACATCTCAAGGAATGCTCATTGTCATTCCTGAATTAAAGGTGGTACTCTAATGGCCATAAATAAAGTTTTGAGTGCTGTCTCAAACATTAAAACAGGAAAGGTTACCACAGGAGGCCTTTTAACAACAAAAAAGGAACAAATAGTTTAAGATGTTCTGGATAGGAACTCATTAATTTCCAACTGATTACAGGTGTTCTTTCAGTTTTGATGTTTACCAGATGGTTTTGTCTTCTGCGGGGGTTTCTTAACCTTCTCAGCTTGCAACTCCAATACCTTTTCCGAAGGCTTTCGTTTCCTTTTCACGCATGTTGTGCCTGTGTCCTCTGCAGCAGAATTGTCAATGGCTGTGTTAACTTAAATAAGAAAGTAAAAAAGATTAACTATAAGTTATCTACTATCAAGATTCATTCAGATGTGTAACTAAATTTCACATTCTCTTTCCATTGCAAGGCCAAATTAAGTTTTCCCAGATAAAGATACCTATTAGCACATTATGAAAGAAAATATCCAAGGATTCCTAGCAGAACTAATGAGTAAATTGAACTCTTAACAGTTCTGCTTCAGTGTACATGGTGACTTTCCTACATGTTCAAAGACCAAGCTGTGTTTTACAATTGATCTATAAGAGTACTTCACTTGTTCAAATGGCGTGATAAGATTTCATAGCCTATTTTACAGGTTCTTAAGACAGATAGTAGGAAGGGTCCATCAACAATGGGAAATCTGAGACCTGACAACAATAAAGAATACATATTTGCTAATAAGAAGCCAAATCTTTGTTCGTTCTAAGAAAAGAGTCCCCAATCATAACTGAACAGCAGAGGTCATTCATGAACAAAGAATAAAAATCACGTTTGGTACATATGTTTTCTATTAAAACAGATATCTTCCATTCCCCCTCCAGTGGAATATGTGCTATATTTAGTAAAATTTGTTACTTGTGTAATATTTGAGGACAGCATCTTTCACGCACTACCAACACACATAATAAAACATATAGACAAGTCAAATAGGGAAGATAAAACACAAAATGGTGATATGTTGAAAACTAAAAGACAAATACACTCAAAAAACAAACAAAACATAAGATAACAAAGACAGAACAAAGGCAACAAGCCAATATAGATCTTTGAGTCATCTTATAGCAATTCACTATCCAAGAAATGTACTTGAGTTAGGCATTCTAAAAAAAATCTTGAGATTGGGATCTAGGAATAGTTGATTGATATCCAAGAAAAAGTTCTGACACAAATTCTGCAAATATTGAAACATAAGCGTTAAACTTAGAGCTGGTAACCTTAGGAGGCTGTCATTTAGGACTGTCAACTGGATATAGATTTTATCAACATTTTCTTTCACGTAACGTTCTTGAATCACAGGATTCATAATAGTTTGATTTACTTAAGGTATAATAAAAAATGTCTTACCACCTTCAAAAGGACTGGACTCGTGATTCACTTGCCCATTTTGTCCAGCCTCTTCTGAAATAGGGGATCCAGATTGGTTGCTCTCTCCTAGCTTTGAGGTACTACCAACACACTTGTCCTGCTGCTCTGGAGCATCAGGAATTGGATCAGCAGGCAAGAAGCAAATTTCACCTTGTGACATATCTGAATCACTGAAAGTTGAATCGTTCTCCACGCCAACAATATCAATATCTTCGTCCTCATTAGCATCTGACTCTTTAACCTGCAGCAGCATGTTCATATCAAAAACAGAAAAAGAAAAGAATGAAGGACACATTATCTATTATACTTCTTTCCTTTTCAAGAAGTTCAACAAGTAATACCCTCACCTTCTCAATTTCCGGATTGAGATCAAATTCATCTTCCCTTTCAACATACTCCTCATTTTCTTCAAGTTCTTTGAAATCAGGAGCAAAAGCGCTCCAATTCTCGGTATAGTCTTTTGCCCAAATATAGACTACCCCAGCTAGCGAAACAGAGACAACAATAGGATGGACAGGATGCCAAGCTAGATCTATTATCGCTTCCTTTGGTCCTTCAAGAATTTTCACAAGATGACCGGCCCGATCCCAGATGTAGATCTTGTGCTCTCCTTTGTTGGCAGAACCACCAACAACCCACTCGCCATCACCACTAAAACATGGAGCCTTCCAGTGCACTCTGGTGACAGAATCCTGAAACTCCCGAAACAGCGCTAAACATTGCGCTCCAACAGCTTTCAGCTTCTCTACCCCTTCAAGCTCATTCAGGTCATTGGTTGCTTCATCTAGACCCGTAAGTGCATTTTTTATGGGAAGAAGGTTCTCGTAAATCCTTATTGTGCGATCATTGGAATTTGTTAAGAGATACTGTCCATTTCTGCTAAACACAATGTTCTTTATAACAGCGCTGCCTGGAACAAGAACTATACCACGCACTTGAACATTTTTATGGTCAATTATTAGTATTTCCCCTTTGGAGTTCCCCACATAAACCAGATCTCCATACTTATTAAAGCAAGCTGCAGTAGGAGAAAATGGGGCAGATCCATCTGAAGATTTATTTCTTGAAGCAGGAGCAAGTCCATTTCCTCCTTCAGTCGGCGAGACAGGGAGAACAGTCACGTTTCCTGTGTCCAAATCAACAATCATGGGAGCAGATGAAAGGGGGCACACCAAGCAAATAGATGGAGTAGAGGACCCAGGATGTAGGCGAGCTTGTAAAGGGGTTTGCTGTAGAGTGGTCCGAGTTATCTTCTCTCCTTTGACCACATCCCACAGCGTCAAGGACTTATCAGCAGCAGAGACAAGTATGCGGTGACCATACTTTGACCAACAAACACTTGTAATTGAGGCAACACTCTCTTCGTCCTTAAATTCTTTTGCAATGCCTCTGGTCTCAAAATCCCAGATAAGGCAATTTCCATCAAAGCATCCAGCTGTAAAATTCAATGCATTTTAGGTTTCACAAACCGTGCATCTCTTACCTAAAAGTTATTAGTCTAAAGCGACAACCAAAATCTTAAGCTTTTTAGCACCAACAAGATATCAATTGGTTTCAGATATCAATTGGTTATATTAATCTAATTAAACATGATGCTTCAAAAAACAAAAAACAAAAAATAAGAATGGAAGCAAAAGAACTACATGAACTACCGAATTATAGGATAATATTAAGATAGATCCACTGGACAAATGATTGGGTCTATCGGAAATAGCCTCAATGCCCTCCAGGGTAGGGGTAAGGCAACGTACATACTACCCTCCCAAGACCCCACTTGTGGGATTACACTGGGTTGTTGTTGTTGCCACTGAACCAATGATTAGTTAAAGCAAAACCCTTTGACTAAAGCCTTTCATGACACCCAAGAAAGCTGCATTACAATTATATAAATTTATCTCTTAAATAGTTTTTACATGCCACTCTGCCTATGAATATTCTAACCCTCACCAAGCAAACACGATTCATAATAATGAGAGAAAAAGAAAATTGATTTTCTCAGCAAAACCAGTGTCAAAAAAAGAACCAAAACCTGCATAGTTCATGTTAGTTGTGTCAAAAGCACAATCAAAGGGGAAAACAAGTCCAGTTAAGAGTTATTCACAGTATACCTGCAAGAAGGGTACCACGACGATTGAAGGCTATGCATTTCATGATTCCATTCTCCAAGTACTCTTCTATAACTTCAGGGAAATCTCCCTGCAATGGATCTTTATCCCAGAAAAGAACCAACAGAACAAAAGCAAATAGTAAGCATGCGATCAGAATTAAACACATAGCAAAAGAAAAAATTTAAACAGAAGAAAAGACTTCAAACTTATCCCTATGTATGTGCACCTATATTCATTCTTATCAAAATTTAACAAAAAGAAACCTAAAAATAAAAGAGAAGAAACGAAAGCAGTATTTTTTTTAATCGAATAAAATTAGTATAGAAGCCAAAGTTGCTGAAGCTGCCCTTGGATACTAAAGGGGGTTTTCTTCTTTTATTTTCAAAGAAACAAATTTAGCTTTTTGGTTAGCATGTAGCAAAAACTAAAAAAAAGAACAACAACAACAATAACAGAAACAGGAGCATTATGTAAACATAAAAGGTTAGAATACTGAAGCTGTACCAAATATTAATGGGTTTCTTTTTTTATACTTATTAAGATAAAAATTCACTCTTTTGTCAAAATAAAATTTCAATCAAAAGCATGTATCTGTGCACCTGCATACATTCTTATCAGTACTTTCATGACAAAAAAATCCTAAAATATACGAAAATTTCAAAAACAGGAAAAAAAAAAAGATTCTTTGTAAATGGTGTCTCAAGGGGCAGAAGATTACCAATTATAGGAGCATTCATGGTGCAAAACAGAAGCTAAAAAAGCTGAAGATGCGATAAATGCTGATGGGGTTTCTTTAAATTGCAGAGAAAAATTCAGCCCTTTGGCTAAAAGGGTTATGTAACGAATGTTGGTACACTGTGCTTCTAAAGTTGTACGCCACCGGAGAACAAGAGTGATGAGATGTGAGCAGGTGGCAGGAAGGCTGAGGAGGAAGAGAGGGAAGAGAGAAAATACAAAGTACTACTCAAGTGAGACTCTCAAAACTATGACAAGGGTTTTTAAACACCATATTTATTGTCTTTTTCTTTTTCACATTTTTTTTACGTTGGGGATAATTTCATGAGTGCTAAAGTAAATAATCATAATATCTTAAAGAAAAATCCGTTTAAATTTAGAAAATCTTAATATCCAATAGGAACATGTAAAAAAGAAAAATATAACATATTCTTAATTTGCACTCTTTGCTTCATAAATTGAAACCCATTCTGTTGTAGTTGCTCTATTCTTTCAAATAATAATTTCAAATTTTCAATTATAGTCTAATACTATAAAGGAAACATCTATATTGGAATAAAATAGCAACAATATTCTACTAATGCTTCCTTATTAAAATTAAATACACTATATGCATTTGTTATATAAATATATGCTCAGTGGTTGCTCTTTTCTCATATCTTGGATAATACAATAGGAAATATTATAATGAGAAGAATAAAAGTGGGACTTATGTAAATGATTAGGGGTGTTCGGTTTGGGTCGGTTTTCCCTAAAAGAAAACTAAACCAAGTAAGTCGATTTTTCAAATATTGGAATCAAACCAAACCAATTAAGTCGATTTTTTATCGATTCAGTTTTTGTCGGTTTTTTCGGTTATTTATCGGTTTTTTTCTTAAATATGAGACATACACTACCAAACACATATTTCGGCGATTACATTTTCAATGTAACACTATCAAATCAATTGCTCTTTGAGAAATCTATCATTTGCCAAAATATATTGATGATAATTGAATCAAATAGTGATGAATAATTTAAGCACTCAATTAAAAATTGATTATTTTTAACATGAAATAAATTCTTATATTTAGCAAAAGAAAACTACCAATCAAAGTAGAATATTAATGTAAAGGCAAAAAATTAGATTATTATAATAGCAAAGAACTAGACTAAAAATACAAATGACTAATATGAACTATAAAATTTTAGAAATTTTAATAAAATGTATACACACACACACACACACACACACACACACACACACATATATATATATATATATATATATATATATATATATATAATATATAATATATATATATATATATATATATAGGTGTAATAATAAATTTAAATAACTACTTTTATAGTCGGTTTGGTTCGGTTTTTTTCGGTTATTTTTTTATTAAAACCAAAACCTAAAAAGTATCGGGTTTTTTTTTTCGATTTGGTTCGATTTTCGGGTTTTTATGAACACCCCTATAAATGATATATCTTTAATGTTTTATCTTTAAAGAGATTGTTTATTAAAGTTACAACAGCCTAAAATAGATTATCAAAACAGTGGCCATGTGATATCTTCTTGTACAATCATCATATTTTTTCTTGGTTCTAAAATTTATTGATATTTGACATAAAATTTAATGGGATAAAAATCACATAGGCAATTAGATTGAAAATTTAACATAAAATTTATTGTTATAACTTCATATTTGTTAATTCTTAATATATTTCTTATTTGTTAAAGTTCAAAATTATGATAACGAATTACTTCGCCAATTATTCACGATAAACATCTTAAAAGGTATACCTAAATCATAAGAGAAAGTATTAAAAGACTAATAATTTATGGGTCAGCTATGGGTAAAGTGAAGAAAGCTAGATAATAGTTTGTATGGTTGTTTAGGAATATATGTAAAACTTAGAGAACTTTTAATTTTTGATACCTATATCTATTTTATGAGATAACAAATTTTCTGTTCGAATGAAATTGATATGATATACGGTCAGATCTCTATAACATCATTCTTATAAAACATACATTCACTATAAAGGCCGAACTTATCTCTAAACCAATTTTTTATGTTATGTTAAAGTATATATCCTCTATAACAACACTTTACTATAACATTAAAAAAATATCGGAACAAACGCGACTGTGATAGAGAGGTTTGACTATATTTGACTTTTATAAGTTTGAAATTGACACACATTTAACTTTTCCATGTTCACATCAAGTTCCTTAATTTCATTTTCGATGTATTAATGAACCGCTTGCAATTAATATCCAATATTAGGGTTTTAATTGAAAAGATCATATACTTTAGTTACCATTTTGACAAATTTTATTCTCTTAAACAAAAAAGATAAAAGACTTTTCAGCATCCATTGATATATCTTAGGGATAAACAATTGACGTTAAAATATCATGGTATAGCCAGTTTTCACACTGGTCAATGAAAAATAGCCAGCGTTTATCAAGTCAATGAAAAATAGCCACTATTTTGCTGCAACAGGGACCGGTCCAGTATAATATACGGGAGTTCTGGTGCATTTATGTAGGAACTCCAGCATATTATGCTGGACCGGTATACTTTGCTAACTCCTGTAAAATTTGCGGGAGACTGGAGCACCAGTGCTCCAAACTCCAGTATATTATACTGGACAATTATACTTGCTGGAACTCCCGTAAAATTTGCGGGCGTATTTTTTCGGATTTTGAACAGTATTTTCGCTCAGATTTAAAGTGGCTAAATTTCGATGACTTTTGAAACTTGGCTATTTTTCAACGACCAATGGTAAATCTGGCTATTTTTGAATTTCTCCCACAATTGACGATATTAGTTTGATGGCTTTTTAACATTGAGAGAAATGATCGGGAGATGCTCCAAAATTTGGAAAATTTTAGAGAGACGACTTCACTTTTCACCAATTTTAAATAGTATTCACTAGTAAAATTTAATTTTGATTCACTTTTCATCCTAAATCTGTCCAATCTATCTTGACCTTAGCAAATTGAAGTCGGTTAGGTCAATTGGATTATGGTATGTTCATTAGCTCAATCATTTTAACTTTTTCAAATTTGATTAATCCTACATTTTCTATATCCTTAACTTTTTCAACTTTATTATTTGATAATAGAAAAAAAGTCATAAGCACATAAAAATTGTATAAACCAAATTTGGAAATAACAATGTAACTTACCTTGACGGAGAAACCGAGCCATTGATGGCAATCTACACTCTTAGTAGAAAGAAACTTGTTACACAGTTCTCGAAAATATAAAGAGGCTTCTGTTTATAACGTCGTTATATTCGATGGTAATCTCAAGGACATTCACTTCTTTGCAAGTTTTGAGCTTGAACGAGTCTTGGAATTGAACTCTTGAATTCACCAACAAATCTCAAACCCTAAGAATCAATTCCAATGTAGTTCATAAAAATGGTTAAATCACACTAAATCTTTGTTGCCTCTTTATTTACCATGATATTTTGTAAAAGTAGAAGGGTCAAAAAGAATTACTCTACTTTCAATGTGGGAAAAGAAAGTCAACTTCACAGAGGCTCCACTTTCTTTTCTTTAGATTTTAGCGCTTAAGTAATTATGACGTTAATCTATTTTTATAGAAAAAATCTAAAGGAATATGATTTCTTTCATGAGTTAATAAATGAGTCTAATTAAAGTACTATTTGGTGGAAAATGATATTAAATTAAATTTTAATGAATAAGCCTAATTAAAAATGCCTATGACGTCTTGATATACATTAGTCTCAACATCGGTAGTCCATCGTTAATGCGAGTCAAGACTCAACCACGATATCCTATCATCAGGTGTGTCGGGATTCAAACCACAATGTCTTACAAATGTTATGTGTTGGGCCACGCTCTTATCACTGAACTAATCACGTCAAGGTCGGGCTTCTCTCACGGTTTCTCAACTATATCACGTGCTATGCTTCATGCTGTAAATCTAACAAGCTCATGTCATGAAGCAAAATAAAAATTAATATCAAAATCAAAATCAAGTTATAAATCATCATGGAAAATCATAAAATAGTGTAAAATCGATAAAAATCTCAACAACGTTCTAAAACCATCTTACCTCTAAGCACAGACTTCTCTCGGCGTATAACTAACACATAATTTAAATTATTTATGCTTAAATAATTTAACATGCTTGTTTAGGAAAAACGAGCAATTAGGGAGTAATGTCTTAGCTTAATGCAACTCTAAACTAAGTAGCTCTGCTACTTTGCCTCGTGCAGATTTTCCCAATCTATATAAAAATATTATATAACTATGTCTCATCTATATGACTCATCTCCCGACAATGTATTTTAGTCAAATCAAAATCAATCCTTAGTAAATGGTTAAACTAACGTAGTCGTTTCAATTTTAGTTTAGCATAACTTTCTAAGTTCAAATCCTTATTTGTTAGCCATGTCCACTGTTGGGTTGACTATAATAATTCTCAATTTGGAGGTTAGGGAAACTCATGAGTTCCTAAGTTCAAATCTCAATTCCAACGTAAAAACATATGATATACTGGATTACCAAATGGTTATTCTTTCTCCACATGAAAATTTTTACTATGTCCCATTTATTGAAGTTCTTTAGTGTCACGACCCAAAATCCACTATAGGTCGTGATGGCACCTAATGCCGTTGTCAGTCAAGCCAATGGTGATTAATCAACTTAGTTACTCATTTTATCATTTTCGAATTTATGAATCCCAGCAATAATGGGATTCTTGGCTAGAGAAAGGTTATGTGACATGGACAGCCCAACTCAGTCGGTCGGTTGGCCCACCTAACAGATAATGAGATTCTCGATCGATCTGATCGAATTTCAAAAAGTCTTTCTCACTATTCAGAACATTGGAGCTTTTTTCACTCGTTTACGGGACCAGTGTCAAAGGAAATGATTTATTAGGATGGCTCAAAGACTGATTCGGTCTTTTCCTCAAAGGTGGATACGTTTGAATTAGCTTTGGACTACGAGAGAGCGGCGAGTCCACAAATCCAATTTTTTCCATTTCTTATGTATCGTCGCCTTGGGGACAATTTTAGTCTTAATTGCGCAGGAATATGAACAAAACACGTAACCGAATTCGCGCAAGTGTGTCCACACCCCCCAAACTTATTTGACGAGGAATCCTTTCTCGCGAACAAACACAACCCCTACACACACCTAGGAGCAAAAGTAGTGTAAAATCTAGTATGCGTAGAAAACCTGTGAGTTTACCTTCCAAT